CCCCCCCCGGGCATTCTCAATGCCGATTGATACTTCTCCCCCACCATCGCTTCTGAGCATTTTTGGTGCGCCTCAGTCCAGGGTTCGCCCCATGCCTAGCCCCAAAATCGCCTTTTAAAATCAACCAGTATGAAAACTATGGAGAAAGTGTACTGTTCCAATTATAACATTTTGTTATATCCTTTAATATGTAAAAAAGTAGAAAACGAGGCCATGGTTTAATGTTATTAGTCCAAGGAAATTTGCCTTTAATTTGTTAACAAGACAAATGCGATACTATTAGTGCCACTAGTAGGATGAATGAGATTTTTGAGAGGTTGAACAATTAATTAAAGGTTTCAGATGTGAGGTATAAAACTTCTTACTGTGAGTGCTTACTCCTTTTATATACCTTAGGTGAGGCAAATTTAAGTTAGGAGTTAGTGGATTTCAAATATGGAATGAGTTGAAGCTTCCGCTTGGACATAGATATTTTGTTTTTCTTCTTTTCTAAAATAATTCAAAAATATTGTTTGTTCATGACCAGTACTATTTGTGTGAAAACTTTTTCTCACTCATAAAACTTTTAACTTTTTTTCAAGTAAAATATATGTCCAAACACATTTCAACTTTAAGAAAATTATTATTCGCTTTGTTTTTAAGTTTTAACTAAAATCTATTTTCAATCCATGTAATACTCATATACTATTACATATTAAATTGCAATAGTATAAAATTTTGTTATACTATCAATTTGTATAACTTAAATCCATACAGGAGATATAACTAGTATTCAACCAGTACTATTAAGTACTCTCTCCGGTCCAAAATAAGTGATTTTTTGGCCTTTTTCTTGTGGTCCAAAATAAGTGATTTTCCCGATTTCAAGAATGAATTAATTATTTTTTTCCTACATTGTCCTTGGAGTAAATAGTGTTGGAATATGTGTTAGGAGTGTTTATGTGAGATAGTAAAGGTTAATATGGTCAATTTCATTACTAATTAATGCTAAAAGGTGAATTTCTTAATCTATGTGAAAACATTCAAAAAAAAATCACTTATTTTGGACCGAAGGGAGTAGTCTTTAATCTTTGTAATTGGAGGGGGAAAAATGGGTAGAAGTTGGTCAGTCCTAACCAGGGCTGAACTGCGCGTGGGAACTTCATTTAACCGGAGTTAAACATGGAGCTGCAATGGCATTTAATGCCGAATTATCTTCTTTCTCTATCCAGAAACATTCCGCTTGCGACAATACAATCGAAAACCCCAGATTCCTTTATTCATTCTCAATTCTTTCACTCGTAAATTCTCTCTCTCCTTCTCTCTCTCTCTCTAGGGCTCCTCTTTCCACTATCTCTCTGTCTGCAGTTTACAGAACTGTGCAGTGTGCTGCGTCGAGCTCTCTCAAAGTATATACCGTACGTGTGATCAACGAAAGGAGGTGAGAAATCTCGAGCACACATGACATTCATTAATTTATTCATTGCAACAATACATATAAATATATGTTGGTTTTCTTTTTTGCTTGCACTGTTTTGGTACTTCTGGCTTTTCTTTCTCGCTGTGTTATTTGTCTCCTTGAGTTTCAGAAAAAGCTTATTTGCTTTCACTGCTTCAGTGCTTTTGCAACTCTGCACATTTTGTCTCTGTTCATTTCACTTTTTCCTTTTCGTTTTTTATTTAAATCTGAATGCTCTTAACTTTTTTGCTATTTTGCTTGTTTCTGCCTTCTCATCAATGTATTTATTGAAAATAGCAAGTTGTTTGATTCCCGGAGAAAAAATAGCAAAATGTCGGGAAAATTTCCTTTACTGATGAGTTGGAGAGGAGTTCGAGACATTATGACTCTGACCTGAGCTTTTCTATTTTCGCCTTTTGGAAGCGGAAAGCACATCGCCGTCGATTTCGCTATTTTTAGGCTACGCTTCTGCAATATTAAAAGTACGCTCGTGAGTCTGAGCTTTTTCATCTTCTATTTATATAGTCAAATGCTTATCGGCCTTGTTTGTCTCTCTTTTTTTTTTTTCTACTCTTCTTCTTCTTACCGTTGTTCGGCGCTTCTACTGATTTGATGTATGGCTTTATAGCACTTTTCATGTATATTCTCACTTCTCGAAAATATGTTTATATATTTGCTTTATGTCAACTCGTACTTTTTTTATGTAGCAGAGTTTATCAAGTCATATCAGCGCATCTCTCATATCACTTTTTTTTCGTTTCTCTCTGTGTGATTCAGTCAAAGACAGATTTTCAGCTGATTCAACAGTTCAACTTTGAATCTCCGTGTAAAGTTCCGTTCTCAGCTAGACCGCCGATTCGACTCAGTAACTCGGCTCGAAACTTCCTCCGTTTCGTGGAAGCAAAGTATTCAACAGTACTATTAATTTTGCCTGAGTTTGGGAGGGAGCATATAAAATATATTTGTTGATTCGATTCCACGATAATGAGCTCTCTATCATTGAAACGGCGAATCAGATTCGGTTTGACCTCCGCCGTGTTCGCGTTCTTCTTCCTTCTCTTAATCATTGGACCGGTTTTTTTTACAGGTGTGTATTCATTGAATTTACGAAGAGAAATATTAGTTACTTATATGAACAACCACATGCATAACGTTGTGGAGAGAGAGAGAGAGAGCACGAGTTGTGTGTATGTATGGGTGTCGGTTTTCAATGAATGAGATTGCACTTAATTATTTGTTAGGTCTGCTTTCTGTTATTTATTAGCACACGAGGCTCTTCCCCCATTATTCAATAGCTTTTTCGTCCCTTTCATCTCTCCATTTCAACTGTAAAATTATGCACATTAAGTTTTGTAGACGGCTATGTTATTTATCGTCATTGATTTTCTTTACTGTTCATTTTACGATTCTGTAAGCAGGAAAACCAATTGGTCTTAATTTCATGGCGGAAGCAAATTCAGCTGTCACTGGGAACACAAATTTTGGTCCTCATCGCAAGCTTCTTAAACAAGGTTAGTCCAAAAAATTACTAGTCGTTTAACTCACAAACAAAAATGAATTTGAAATTTAATTTTGGTCTACAACATCTGCCATTTTTTTTTTGCTTTAAGGTACGACCCTAGACAGCCCAGCGAGCAGGCAGCTGCCTCCTGTTTGCTCAGGTTTACTGTACAATTTTTGCTGTGTAGGTGGCGCACGTCAGTTTTTGTTTTCTCATGTCTTTATTGGTCTTATACCCCAAAAATACAAATAATTCTCATAGTCGCCCAAAAGTTAAAGAAAAGGTTTAACCTACTTCTAATTGAAAGGGCAAAAGGGAGAAGAGGACAAAAGTTTTGCTTTAGTTTCTGCTGTAGTTACATGTTAAAATTTGCATGCAATTTTCATAATTTAGGAAACCACTACTAGTTCAGTATCTTTCTATTTTTCTGCTGGTTATAAAAGTCCATGTCTCGTGCCAGATATGTAATATCACTTTCCAAACGATTCTTTTGACTTTCGGAAGTTGAAACAGCATTTATTTTTATCCAAATAGAAAAATAAAAAAATGGTAAGCTAGTTTTTCCAATCTGTATGGTATTAAAAGAATATTTGGCAGCTCTTGTCTTCTATCACTGCTCTATAAATTTGCTCATAATGGTGCATTTTGCTGTGTGGTTCACGTGCACATAGCTGTCCGCCAATTAAGATACTCGAAGAGAAGTTAATTCAAATGCCTCAATTCCCTATATTCAGCCTTTTTGATTGTGCTGTCTCTTTCTCCGCCTGTTCGATTTCAATCAAAATCACAAAAAAAGCTTAATTTGTCTTGAAGAATGCCCTATGCCCCATTGATAGCTTAAATTTGACAATTTATGATTCAGACCCCAATAGAGCTCGTGTATTATATAGGAGCTTAACTAAACTGTTGACTTGACACGCAAGTAATAAATACATACAATAATTTTACTATATCACCCCCATTTATTAATTATATGTTGGAAAATGAATTGTAATTAAGTAGAGTTAAACTTTTCTATAACAATCTGTCTGTTCCGAATATTTTTGGATGTTATAGCGAAATGATGTTATAGAGAACATATATTATAACATAACATGAAAATTGATTCCGGAAAAACATGACTTTTATAGTGAAATGTTATATATAGAGATACTGTTATAGAGAGGTCTGACTGTAATAGTACTTAATAAGAAGGGTAAAATAGGTATAAAATGGTAAATTATTCTTTCATTTTCCAAATTAGACAGAATATCTATTTTAGTAAAGTGGACAAGTATACTTGGATGGACGGAGTACTATCCATCAAAAGTGAATTTTTACACTATTGACTCACTTTTTACCTAATAAAGCAAGTAACATGATTTATTTTCTAAAATTATATTAAAAATCTCATTTATTATAGAGGGTTGCATGTAAATATATTTTGGATTATGTAAAATTATATAGTACACTCATTAAAATTTTCATTTATTGCACTGATTAATGCTCGCAGCTCTTTAATCCCCCTCCATTCAAAAAATCCAAATTCAAGTTCATGGGCCAAACCCGACCCCAAAATTGATGGGAAAAAAGGAAACAATAAAGCAACTACGTGGAAAAGGACAAAGGATAGGTCTGCTGGTGCTGGTTTATTTTGTTGACTTGTCTGTATCCGCAATTGCCTTTTGTTGCAGGTAACCAAGTGGAAACTAACAGAATATGGGGTGACAAGTGTTCAAAAACAGATATAGTGATAAATCAGGGACCCACAGCACCTCTACCCAGTGGAATACCAACATATACAGTGGAGATTATGAATGTCTGTGTCTCTGGCTGTGATATCTCAGGCATCCATCTCAAATGTGGCTGGTTCAGCTCTGCTCGCCTTATTAACCCTCGGATATTCAAGCGCCTACACTTTGACGATTGTCTGGTCAATGATGGGAAGCCCCTTATTAATGGACATACTGTTTCCTTCCAATATGCCAACACTTTTCGTTACCCACTTTCAGTTTCCTCCGTTATATGCTGATATACTTGCTGGGTCTAATAACATACACTAACACTTCTTAAAAGCAAAAAACATGATTTTAACAGAGCTGATTGCCTTTAGGGGATTCCTATTGTTCTTTTTTTGGGCTTTAGACAATTGCTTTTGATGGACGTGGCCGTGCTGAGTGCTGACTGATTGTGGCTGTGTTAAAGGAAGAACCACAATTGTCTTTCTCTGACTCCATAGGAAATCTTGTTTTGGGATGCTCTGACATTTTGTTCATATCAGAGTGACCTACTGAGGAAAATATAGTGTAGCAGTAATTTCTGGGTTTTGAATGTAAAGTATACAACTCTTTTGAGTGGTTGAGCAGTAAAGATGCGCAAAATGAATGTCCTGCAATCTCGTTCGTTTTGCTTGACAACTGCACTTCTGAAGAAATCACTGATTTTCAATTCGATATTCACATCCTAAGATTTCATACATTATGTGATGAAAGATGAATATGGATTTGACGTGCGATTCATATTACAAAGCTTAAAGCAGCATACATGCATTACCTGTCTACTTTGACGGTGTCACTTATTCATTGTTGTTCATCTTGACATTCGAAAGTTAAATTCTGGATTCGGGGCAGACGCACTTTAAATAAGTTTTGCAACTTTAAAATCTCAATTACTCCCTCCGTTCTAGTTTATATGAACCTATTTTCTTTTTGGTCCGTTCCAAAAAGAATAACCTCTTTCTAAATTTGGAAACAATTTAGCTTAAACTTCCAATTCTACCTTTAATGAGAAGCTTTTATAACCACATAAATACTCCGAGCCTCATTTTGACTTGTTTAGAACCACAAATTTCAAAAGTCTTCATTTTTTTCATGCTTTTTTTCCTCACTTTCTTGTAGAAAATTTGGGATAGCGACCTTAAATTGGCTCACTGTCAATTTTAATCAATGAAAGTTACATCTATGAAAAAATATTGGATGAGTACGTACTTTTATTCTAATAATATCCGTCTACTGGTTGGCGCAATAAGTAGTGTACGCAGACAGGCAGACTGGTTAGTTGGATATGAGAAAGAAATAACAATAGCGAACCAGCATGTCTAAAACATGCAAATCGCCAATGAAAAGTAAACTTTGTGACAACAATAAACCAGCACAATAGGAGTAGTACTTTTTCTAAAGCGAAGCGAAAAATAAAGAAATAAGAATCTCATCTATTGCATCCTTAGTTATTCAAATTTGGATGTAATGGGACCAAATTTCGGCAACCAGTTGCAACTAAAACCTTCCAATAAGACTACAAGAAAAGATAACATCTAATGAGTATTTGGAGTCTGAGCAAATTGATGAACAGACCTTTACTATCAAAGGATGTGGTGCACTGCATGTGACTGCTCCTCCCTTAACCAGAGGTCTCGAATTCGAGTCCTGGATATGGAAAAATCCTTTGTAGGGAGCGCTTCCCCCCGAAAGGGGCCATACGCGGCGCGAATCCAGATATAGTCGAGCTCCAATGCGGGTACCGGACACCGGGTGGAAAACCAAAAAAAAAAAAAAAAATGAACAGACCTTTAGCTAAACGTTTAGCTCCGTATAATTGTACTCCCCTCATTCCATAATTTAAGCCCCCTATTCGGCTTCCAATTTTTCTTAAAAGTTGGTCGCTGTTTGAATATAATTTCGAAATTCTCTCAGTTGAAAAAATTGGCAAGTGCCATTTTGTTTCTGTTGTATCTAAATATTTGTTTTTTTTTTTAAAAGTACTAACCTTTACCAGCTAAGGAACATTACCAAATTGATCGTGCACATATGTGGCATGCCGCACAGAGCCATAACGTAATAAACCTTGGAACTCAGAAAAAGAACGCACATTTATGTCACAAAGAAAAGTCAATCTTTTGAATAAGAGAAAGAAATAAGTAACGCAACAACTTGAAAATGCTTCGTCCTAAAACTACACGAACTACGCTAGAAACTATGGTCAAAGTACAGCGAAAGTAACGCAACAACTTGAAAATTCTTCGTCCTAAAACTACACGAACTACGCTAGAAACTATGGTCAAAGTACAGCGAATATCATTCTCGAAAAGCCAAGGAGGCAGTTCAGGTAAGGATCAAATAATCTGGAACTTTGTCTGATTCTAGACAAAATTATGCCCTCAAAACGCATCAATGAAGACGATAACGATGGGCAGAAGGGGTCAGGGACTTGAACGGCAATGCCTACAAAGTTGTTGGATAACAATCAACAGTGCCACTAACATCGCATCAAATTACAGGGGCAATGAGCCTGTCATTCTAGAATATTTACACTCCAATTGCACACCATCCTGCGACAAAATTTGGCATTGATCTCCTAACCTTGTAAGGGAACATAAAATGCTAATTCAAGAACTTGCTGAAGCTAAGAAGATGAGAGGGTTCAGATTCTAACGGTAGTTGAGAATCCCGGTTCACTCTGAAGAGTGAACCATCATACTGGATAAGACAGCAAAAATATGGAGAAAAGTGAACAGTACCAGTAGCTCAAGAGCGTGGAAGCGCAATTAGGCTAAGGCATTTGCACCAAGGTGATGTTTCTACGACTTTTGGTGCTTAAGGCTCACCCATTATATATACAGCATTGGGCAACTAAGACAGGGTCCATCCGTTTCCTAGATTTAATCTACCTACCATTGGCAGACTTCGTCTTCTCCAAAACCCGCACCTTCTCAAGAAGCTCTTGCATAGTATTTGATGCATCCTGAAAGCAAACCAAGAAAATTATTTGACTATTCACTTTCTAAAGCAAAGATGCAAAAAGTTGAGTGAAGAAATTCACCTTCAACTTCTTTCTCAAGTTCTCCTCCTCTAGGTCGCGGCGTTGTCTCTCCTCCGTGAATATGTCTATCAAACTTTCTTGTTCCTTGTTAAGTTCCTCTACTTTTGTTTTTGCCTCCTGCAGCTGAACATGGAGCAGAAGTATTTCAGTTTCATTTTAAGAAACATCAAAATCTAGTCTAATGGAGTTTTACCCTTACTATTACTAAAATAAATTGAACGTACATAGATTCACTAGCAGGAACCAAGGAAAAGTCCAAGGACCTTGAGGTCATATTTCCAGTTCCCAGTACAACAACAAAGGAGCATAAACGAAATGCTATCACAACGTCACCTCGGAAGCAAAAAAATTGATTCCCAGTTTTTCTCACATCAACACCTACTATAAATAACTAGCTACTCCAGCAGGCAAAACACTGCAGCTTTCATGCAGAGAAATGCAGCTATTTTGGCAAGTAATAAACATGAAAATCTCATCTAACCTGAGCTTCAAGTGATTTGGATCTCTCTCTTTCTTGCTGCAAATCACGCAACAGATCCCCTAGAATCTCTTCCTCTTTCCTTCGCAACCTGTTGAATAAATAAACATTTTGACAGTGAATTTGAGCCTAAAATACAACAAAATGGTTTCATAATTATGTAAAGCTTGCAGGACCAGCACCTTCCTTTAAGCTCACGATTCTCTTCTTTTAACTGCTCTATAGATTCCGTGAGAGTATCTGGCAGCACGTCGTCATTCTTATCAGCGTCTCCCTATAGGACCAAATAACCAATTTTATCAATCCCACTATCTGCTCCAACTCTCCATGACAATGAATTCTAAGAAGAGTAATTTTCCCCAATGAAAACCTTCAAAAGTTGATGAGTGAAATTAGGTGCTAAAAATTTTGGGCCAAACCAACCCCATATCCCTGCCCAAAAAAAGTACAAACATATACAGTCTATTGTAGTGACTGTTAGAATCTCCCAAGTAGCTTCAAAACTTTCATCAAGACATACGGGAATGTATCAGAGAACGTTTTAAAGAGCACACTGGCTATATCAGAAGTAATTTAACATAATACTCCGGCATATATATTGCTAAACGGAGGCAACTCTATCATCAAAGAGAGCTTAAGCAGTGCCAGAAACTAAGACAACCGGAACAACGTTTGGAGCTTAAAAGGGTACATAGATCAGATGTAACCTTTCTTGAATTTCTAGTAACTCGCTTGAATCCACCAGGTGAACATACTTGCTCAGCAACTCTTTGTCCAAAGCCTGGCGGGGAATGCATAGACTGAGAGCCAACTTTTCCATTATTATACTTCTGATGTCCATCTGGTTGATTTGGAAGGTCATTTTCATCGCTGTCATCTTCGGCAGAAGTTGAGGATGGCTCAAAAGAACTTGGTTTATTTCCAGATCTTCTGACTTTGCTATCATGCTTGCCATTTAGATGTCCAAAACCATTACTCTTCTCAGATGACTTTCCTGAACTTTTATGTTTCGATTGAGATGTTGAAGAATGATAACCAGGAGAATTCTCTGTTTACAAAAATAATTATGTACTTATCATCTGTTATAATAAGAAACTAGATATAATCAGAAAGCAAGATCATATTCTCAAACTGAGATATCAAAAGTAAAGTAAACAAAAATCTCCAGAAAAAGCATTAAACATAATTAACTGAAGCAGTATCTTCTTTGAGATAGAGATTACTATGAAAAAACATGAACACAAGTCCCCAGGCAAAGCGCCAAACCTTATAAAAGGTTGTCTGAAGTATTGACAAAGAACAAAAAGGAGAATCAAGCTATGAAAGAAATACATCAAGCATACCTCCTTCAAAAGCTTTCTTATTCCGCCTAGGAGCATAGCCAATTTTGTGACATAAAGTTGACCTGGAAAGGAATAAAGAGTATACTAAGTATATGAAACTCTGGAAAAGGACAACACAGACAAACAGAACACACCAGTAAGTTTTTTGCATCTGCACTAATCGAGATTCAAGTCTTGAAAGAACTGTTGTACGCTCAAACCCTTGCTTGTCATGAGCTGGTTCAACAAAGTTGGCTTCTAAGACACCTGCCATCAAATTAACAAAGCAATAAGCACTTTAAACAGGCAAACCTAAAAAAGAAAGAATCTTGAGATAAAATAGCAGACCTATAACGCCACGACCGTCACTTCCAGGAGCATGCCAAAGCCTCCAAAATGGCTAAAAACATAAGGAAACTTTAGTACAGATCACTAAATCACAAATGCAGAATGTTCTGCCATGCAATGGCTCCAAACTATGCATCTTTTATTGTCAATAGGGAAAGTCTACATAAATCAATCACACCAGTTTTAACAAAGTTGGACAATAAGAATGAGAAATTGTGCTTTGTGAATTAGCAGATTGCAGGTTTTGGAAACAACGATATTATTTCATTGCAGGATAAGGTAAAATATCAAGTTACATATCTCATCAAGAATGAATCTGATACTGCAGATCCCCACATAGACAAAGGTAGTGGAGAAAGCATTCCATCATATAGTCAAAAAGACATCATCAACAACTACAACAATCATCACAGTTCACTAAAACCATTTGCACTTCCAAAAAGAGGACAAACCTTAATAAGTCGATTTTTATGATAGACATTAAACCCTTGAACATCAATATGAGCTTTTGCATCCTTTACAAACCCAATTTTCACAGTAGCCACCATCTACAAGCACCAAAATGACAATGAGTGAGAACAAGATTGAGGACTGAAGAAAAATCCAAATAGAGTTTGCATTCAAAGACATTACGTTGGAATCCTTGGGTACTCCATCCGCACCAGGCATAGGGCGGTATGTGATCTCTTGGGTCATCATCATATCATTTACTATGTTATGGTGCTCAACATCTTTACCGCGCAGAATAATTCGAAAGGCAGGAGGAATTCTTAGGTATAGAATTGATGCATAGCTCTGAAAATCCAAGAGAACACGTGATAAAAACAAAATTTCTTTCCAAGGAAAAGTATCATACACGTACTTTAAGTACCTGCATTCAATATCAAACTTGAAAGTAATTGGTAAAGGTTGTTCTGAGAGTATACGAGGAAAATTCTGGTTTACAACTACTTTTGATCCAAAATGTTAGGATGACATTTGTGACCAGGCCGCACATGGAATATTTAGGTTAGACCATAGTCACTCTTGATAGCCTTGATCAACATGGGGAAAGGCGTAATGCCCACTTGATAAGTGCAACTGCTCCTTGGTTCCAGGAGCACATAAACCCCCACATTCCAAGCCGGAAAGTAGAACTGCTGTCAAAGACAACCTCTTTTTGCAAATATTATCCACCTAGGTATTAGCAGTGTACATTTTATAGCTAGAGATCAATTTAAGTGCCCTTCATATAGAATTAAAGAATCAACAGGAACTAATTAATTTCCTCACAGAACCTCAAAGTAACATGAAAACTCAAACAACCAGGTTACACGTAACAAAAAGGCCACCACTCACACATGCCAAAACAAGTATGAACTCACTTACCCTTAGCGAATGCCTATACGTCAAGAAATGCCTGGAGTTTGGATACTGTTTAGCCATCTGTATGCTCTTCTCATCACGGTTGACTCCTCTAATTTGAATATCCTGAAGGAGAGAATGAAAGTAACATGTCACTCGAAATTTAAGAATCATGTCACAGCACATTAAGTAAGGCAGAGAAACGAGCAACAAGTAAAGAAGGAGAAAATGAAAGTAACATGTCACTCAAAAACTAAGAATCGTGTGACAGCACATAAAGTAAGGCAGAGAAACGAGCAACAACAAAAGAATTTTAGAGGGGTACATGTGGATCGGCATCAAAATCTAGCTCCAGTAGTCCTTGATCATCCTCCCACAAATTGTATACTATAATCCGAGTGCCCTGACCTTTCATCGGATTAAACTGCAGCATGTGTAGAACAAAAGTTGAATGGTTAGCAGATAAACACAAAGTATGCAACTTTATAGGCATGGAATAGTTCATTAAGTTCAACCCACACAAATAAGCTTCACAATAGGGTTGCACACTGGCTGATCCAAGATGAACACTTGAGATGCTAGAATTTGTATGCTAAATTTGATATTATGACAGCTGAATTCATTTTGGGGGTGAGACTGTATGTTCATTTTTTTTAGATGAACTGTATGTTCATTCAAAGCTGGGATCAAGGTTATACACGAACTTTTTGCAAATCTTTCCAGCTGTGCACTTTGTAATTTAACATTTCATCGCAGCTTATATCTTCTCATTCTCTCCTTATAAGATTTTTCATAACTAGTTTAACAGTAGTGGAAGGATTTAAAATACTACTCTCTTTTTTGGGGGATTGTGGGAGGAGGAGTAATTTTGAAGATTTACCTGTCTAAGAAGATCGGCTTCACTTGAAAAAGGGGACCACTGAATTATGGTTTCAAGATTCTTGTCCCAGTCGCTAGTAGATGATCGTATTATCTTGTCCCACCCTTCTCTTTTCTCATAGTCAAGCTGTCACACCAGCAAGAAAACAAAATCAACACAAGGGATTGTGCATCACATCTAAAGTTACTAATATCCATGAAGGATTGCAAAAATCATACTCATGAAGGGAACTAGTGTTCCCTCTTTGCTAGGACTTACAAAATAGAAGTCTGCAAAATGAAATGCAAGAACCACTATCAAGGCAAAAAGTAAGACCAGCATACCTATTAGCGAGTCCAAAAACATGTTATCAAGTTTTCTTACAAAACTCATGTTAATTTATTGCATCTGTAGCTTACAGATAAGACAAACACAGGCAAAATGTGAGGAAGAGCGCAAACACTAGTACAAAATCTCCATGAATAACTGAAGTCCAACTACAGCAGAGTTTGAGCAAAACGGAAGTTAGAATGCAGACACTTAATATAAAGTTTACATCAACAACTGAACCCCGTATAAAGCGCGAGCTTGTTTACTTAAGGTTTAGAATCTAACATGAAAGTAGGGGCAAAGAGTTGATTAACTGGATTCTGACTAGTGAATCGCAATAGAAGCATTTCTAATTTGCCATGGACAGGACACCAGATCCACATGTACACCATAAGATCACCAATACAAAGGAAATTTCAAAATAATTCAGCATGCTTACCATGGGAACGACGATGTCTTCCATTCCAGTGCTTCGTAGAAATGTGTAGGACAACAATCCAACGCTCTGTGTGGGGCTGAAAGCAAAAGATAATACCTGAGTAAATAGCGATACTGAACCACCAAAAGAATAAAGAGAGAAAACAACGGTCGAAAGGATGAATGTTCGCAACGACAAGAGTGGGAGACAGCACAAGAGCCTGAGAAGTTTGAGATCAGACATCACTAACTTACAGAGGCAAATGAGAAACTAAGAGATCATAACTCCATGGGAGCATGTCGGTGTCGGGGATATAACAAACCTGTGTTACACAGAGTCTTCATTTTCCTTAATGTACCCCACATCGACCAGGCATGGTTACTTCATGCACATCTTTCAACACACTGAAAACTAGCTAAAAACTAAACATACCCACACGGATACTTGATTGTACACAGTTTTACAGCATGATAGCTAACTAGCCACCGCTCCAGGCTACCAGTTTAGACACCTGGATTCCTAGTTATCTCCCATTGGTCCCAACATAAGTGCTAGTTTTAAGTATATGGAGGCGCTATGCTAGAGCTCGGTAGTAGTACCACATCATATAATTGTAGCCACAAACTAGCACAAAACTGATCCAAACTTCCCATCATCTGAGGGAATATACTAAAGGTTAAAGCAGAACATGGAAAAATTAAACCCTCTCGGTGACATGAAACTTCAAATTGATAAGATTGACGTAAGTCTGCAACACCACATGCATACCCCTCCCACTAATACTCTTACTTAATTTTTTTCTAGATTCTTTTTTTGGTGGGGTGGGATGGTGGTGGTGGTGGGGGGGGGGGGTAAGGGCGAAAATGGACGAAAATTCAACGTTTGACTCTTCGCAAAATCAAGCACCAGATCAATGGAGTCAAAAAGTTGCATTGCCAGGTTACCCTCTACCAACAACAACAACAAAAACAGACCAAGTGTAATCCTAGACCCCCAAAGTGGGGTCTGGGGAGGGTAGTGTGTACGCAGACCTTACCCCTACCTTTAATAAGGCAGAAAGACTGTTTCCAGAAGACCTTTGGCTCAGAAAGATAAAAGGAAGGAGCAATAACAAGCAAACCACTCAGAAAACCGAAGCGAATGTACAAGACTAACATTAGGTACTGCAATCAGAAAAACCGAAGTGAAAGAAGCGACAAGTAATAACAGAAATACAAGAGTAAGAAATTACAAGACTAACACCGAGTAATGCACTACACTACTGGCATGAGCAAGGACAATGCTCGACTTCCTAACCCTCTACCTAGTCCTCAAACTACACATCTTCCTATCCAAGGTCATGTCCTCGTCCTCGGTGAGCTAAAGCATCGTCATGTTTTGACTCTTGCCTAATTACCTCTCCCCAATACTTCTTCAGCCTACCTCTACCTCTCCTAAAGCCCTCCAAGCCCAAGCTCTCACACCTCTTCACTAGAGCATTTGTGCCTATCCTCTTTACATGCCCGAACCATCTAAGCTAGCGTTTGGCCATAGATCCCAAATTTGTTTTGAAAAATCTGATTTGAGTGAAGTTTGGTTTGAAGATGAAAATGTGTTTGGACATGCGTTTTCAAAACATATTTTTCAACTTTATTTTGGAAAAACATGTATATAATTCCCAAGTTTTGGGATTTTGGCCCAAAATCAGCTAAATCAGCTCAATAGCTGATTTTGGGATTTGAAATTTGGGATTTGAGATTTGGCCAAAATATGAGCAAAATTTATGTCCAAACACGAGTTTTGAAAATAAATCCCAAATTTATTTTGGGAAAACTCATGGCCAAACGGGGCCTAAGTTTCGCTTCCCGCATCTTATACTCCACAGGGCTATGCTCACCTTGTCCCGAATTGCTTCGTTCCTAATTCTATCTAATCTGGTATGGCCGCACATCTATCTCAATATCTTCATTTCTGCCACCTTCATCTGCTGGACATAGAGTTCTTGACTCGCCAATACTCAGCCCCATACACATAGTCGGTCTGACCACCACTTTAAAGAACTTACATTTAAGTTTTGGCGGCACATTCTTATCACACAAAACACGGAAACGAACATCCATTTCATCCACCCCGCCCCAATACGATGTGACATTCTCATCAATCTCCCTATTCCCTTGTATAACTTACCCTTGTATAACTTACCCAGGGTACTTGAAACTTTCTCTCCTAGGGATGACTTGTGAATCAAGCGTCACGTATTCGTCCACTTCATGAGTCGCACCACTGAACTTGCACTCCAAGTATTCTATTCAGCTTGAAACCCTTAGACTCCAGGGTCTGCCTCCAAACTTCTAACCTCGCGTTAACACTGCCTCGCATCTCGCTGAAAAAAGAATGTCATCTGCAAATAACATGCACCCACGGCACCTCCCCTGAATGTGGCGTGTCAGTGTGTCGATCGCCAGGGCAAATAAAAATGGGATGAGGGTTGACCCCTGGTGCAGCCCCATCACAACAGGGAAGTGTTCTGAGTCCCCTCCCACTGTTATCACTCGAGTTCTTAGTTCCATCATACATATCCCTAACTGCCCTAATGTATGCAACAGGAACACATCTAGCCTCCAAGCATCTCCACATAACCTCGCTCGGCACTTTAGAACTTCACAAATTTACTTCTCACTTGTTGGCCCCGAACACCCCCCCAATCCCATCTTCTACCTGCCCCATGTGAGGCAGGGTAAAAAGATCTTCATTTTTCTGCTCCATTGCCATACCTAGATTTTAACCAAGGCAACGATTTCACGAAGGATATCCCATTGGTCCCCTACATAGCCACTTCCCGTGAGGGAATAAGGGGGAGTTGTTCCCCCTTATAACTGATAAAGGGTAGCATGTCATGACTTGATGATGACAATTGTCCGCTAAATGTAAAATTGGCGTCCTACTCCTTTCCAACTAGGAATACCTTTACTAAGAAACATAGAACGGTGATCATCTAAACAATAGAAGAAAACATTGCACATATGAAACCAAGCACATAATATGCTGATAAATCGAGAGGAAACAATACATGAGTTACGACAAGAAGAACATGCGTGAAACTCCAGTAACATGTATGCCTTGGCCAGTTTCCAAACTTATACCAACCAAACTGAAAAATGTAAGAAGAGACCAGTTAAAGGAGGTAGAAGTAACAACCTTTTCCCTGGTTTTCCACTAGAACGTGAGAAAACAATTACATCTGCTCCAAGCCTCATGGTACTTGTCTTGAATCCATTTCCATCTATACAAAAGCACAAAAATAATTTATATGGTGAAGTAAACATTACTGATAATCTAAACAACTGAACAGAAACTACCGATATAAAAAAACATCTCAGTTAAAACTCACACTGTCCAATAGTATCTGCCACTTTACTTTTCACAGAATATCCCAGTGACATGCAATGCCTCATTTTATCAGGATCCATTCCACCACCATTATCTGTAGAAGAATGGGCAAGATGGAAAAAACCAACAGTCGCACAAAACAAAGGGAAAAGAAGAAGATGACAGCTTACATAGTCGATCAAGAAAGAGGGTTAGATCATAAACGATATGAGAATTTCAGAAAAGCTAATGAAATAACATTTAAGGGCGGTTAGGGGAAACGTTTGGCCAGATTATAGCTCCTACTACCATGAAGCATAACCTATCCACAGTTTTTAAATAAACCATCTAATAGCAAACTCCATGGTTAGGCCATGTCTTCCCGGGAACTAACATTGAGATTTCTTCTTCTCAAATAGACATTGAATACAAAATCGATGTCCTCTTTATTGAATCACATGGATTAAAGATAAGTGAAACATAATCATTCTTCTCTTTACCAATCCCAATATGTTGAAGGAAAACGGAAGGGAAAAAAAAGGATAGTGTTCTTATTTGACATAACAAAGACTTTGAAGGGAAGAGAGGAGGGAGGGTAGTTGTGGACAATGGGAGCCAACTCTGGGATAACTCATTTGTAGGGGAAGAATAGTTCTATCATTCATGTTAAAATGCAAACGGAATCCAGTAAAGTTGAATACCTTCAATCAGAAGCATTCTGCTTCCATCTTTTTTGTTTTTGACCATATCAATGTTCGCGTATGTTGCTCCATTGATGACCTAATCAAGAGAGGTGAACTTAAAATGTTATGTGAAGCGGCAACAAAGACACTAGCGTATTATGCCAAAGAGTATACCTCATCCAATGCATTATCCAAAAGCTCTGCAAAAGCTGCAGACTAGATATGATCAGAAAAGATGAAATCAAAAAGGCAAAAACTGTAAGGGTATGTAATAACCTAATAATATTATGGTTAAGTAATAAGTTACCTCCAAGTGCCCACTTATGACTGGTGGCATTGGAGTGTAGGAATTTGGGATGAACTCTGACGTGATCTATACCACCTACAATATTAAAAAATTATGTTACACCCTCAAGCTAAAATAATCCTCTCAACTACAAGAGCCCAAAAAGGGAACATGCAATATCCTTTCAAAAAATGCATTACCAAGACATATTAATACTTTAAATAAGCTTAGATGATAAACAGAGTATTACTAATAGACATCTTTTGAAACATTCTGCTGACTGAAGAGGAAAAAAGGAATTCTTTTATAAAAACTTAAGTAACTTACCAAATAAATAAGCAATTATTAAGTCACCAAACTAGATTACTACCCATAGCTTACCCAATATTCAACTAGATTGAGAAAATCGAATTCATTTACCCAATTTAAGCTACAAAAATCCACCAAAAAGTTAAAATCTTAAGGCTCCAACTACTACTCATAGATCCACCCATTACCCCATACTCAACAAGATTGTGAAAATCTAATTCACCCCCCCCCCCCCCACCCACTAAACAAATTTAAGCTATAATAATCCACCAAAATGCACAAAACAAACAGTTAACACAAAAAATGAAACGACAAGAGCACATAATTGCTGGCCTGCACGAGTTATTAACACGAATAAATATAGCAACAACAAAGTGCGCTGCGCGAAAGTATTTTCATAGGAGTGAAATTGAGAATAATAAGATCCCAAATTTCTGACGAATACAGTGCGTAGGATTTGCTGAATAATAAACCTGAAGATAATCCGGAAATAGAAGAAGAAGTCCCTTCATAATCTCCAGCCTTCCAAAATTGCTTACTCTCCGAAGAAGAACCTAACTCCTTATTATTGCTTCCATTAAGCGGCGGAGCCGGTAACGGCAACGGGGTTTCCTTAGGCGGAGGCAAAGGATCCAAAAATCCCAACGGCAATGGGAAATTCACATCCTCCACACTCTTCCTTTTCTTCTTCGGCCTATTACTGCCAACAAAACCGTCCAAATCGGAATCGGAGTCGTCACTACTGCTTAGGTCAATAAACACCGATTGAGTCGCCGGTGAAGAACCCGCGGGCGGCTTCTTCTTCATAAACCCTTCCACAACTTCTTGCTTAATTACAATATTAGGATTCGCCATGCAAAAAGAAAAAGTGTGAAGCAGAAAGGAAAAACAAAAATGGAGTGTAAAAGAGTATTTAGTGAAGAATTTAACGAAGTAAAAGGAAAGGGAGATTCAAGAATTTTAGATGAAGAGACGTATACAGGGTTTCACGAACACGTACACGTACACGGCGATGTTAAATGAACCGTTGGATCCACTTGGGATTTGCGTCCGGTTTTTTTGCAGTGGTTCCTTTTTCTTTTGTTGAAGTGGGTCCTCTTAATTAGCGCAAATGGAGTTTATTTAAGAGATAACTGTTACCCGTTTGCATTGACTTATTTTAAGAGGCAAGAATCAAAATGTGGTTCTTTTGGACTAAAAAAATCAAAATGTCACAATTCAATTTTTATTATAGGTCGTTATGGCGTCCAAAACCGTTGTAGACAAGTAACCCTAATCACCTAGTGAGTTCTCATTCTTTTTAAAAAAATAAATTCCCATATTTACTTAACTTATATTTAAAAACAGTCGAACATTAACAAATTTATAAGGCAAACGAAACGGGAAAAGACTAAAGAGAGTCATAATAATAGAAATAAAATCCAAAAGTAATAGTCTACTGATGTGTGTGTCATGAACTAGTGTCACAAGTACTAGGGCAACTAGTTGAATGTACAAAAGAATATAACCATCCTACTGTCTGAAATAGAGTAGGCAGTAATAACAAAATGAGAGACTCCGGTATGCTGTTGAACGGCTCAGAAGGGGGCAGCTCACCGTGAGATCTCGATCAAGTATCAGGGATGTGCGTCGGACGGATAGCCAGATGCACCTGCCTCAGATCCTGTACATTTAAGTACAAAAGCGTAGTATGAGTACATAAACAATATGTACCCAGTAGGTATCTAGTCTAACCTCGAAAAAGTAGTGACGAGGGTCGACTTGACACTTACTAGGGTCAATATAGTATGAATATAATGACAGTCCAAGAATAAGAAGAGCAAAATACTCTTTCCTAACAACATATCAATTTCAATCGTATCACGTAATAAGTTACATTCCAAAGCATTCAAGTAGTGTAAATCACGGAAAGTTCCACATAAATAACATGTGCACATTGTGTCGAGGTCGTATGGCCTGATCCGATACAATAATAAATTGCGCACTGCCAGGGGATCGAATGTCGCGAACCATAGATGCATCTATTTACTACCGAGGCGATCAGCCCGATCCGTCACCACGTACGTACGTAGCCCCCCCAGAGATAGTCACATACATTTATTTAATTCATCTACGGGGTTAATTCCCTCTTACAAGGATAGAAAGGAGACTTATCTCGTCCCAAAGCTTACTTCAAATTTCAAGAATGCACTCAAACCCTTAAATCGGAGCCGAACGATCCAAAACTATTTAAATGGAGTAAGAACTAGTCAATATATGCTCAAGAGTTCATATTCTAACTATTAAACTAATTTCTCAACCCTAAATGCAAGGACCCTAAAATTCACCCCCGGGCCCACGTGCCCGGATTCCGGAAATTTTTTAAGAAAGTTGTTGCCCATAACCTAAGGATCAAGAATATATGATTTCTACTACATTCCATAATAAATTTCGTGGTTAAATCTTGTTTTTATAACAACCCTAGGTTTTACTCTAAACCCATAATTTCCACTAATTTACATATTTTAGTCTACCCATAAACTATGTATTAAACTCACATTAGGTAGAAATAACTTACCTCACAATGCTAGGCTGAAATCTCCCTTTTGAAGCTCCCAAATCACCCAAGAAATGAGTGAAATGTATCAAAAATGACACATTACCGTATTAAATGAAGGCCACCGCCTTCAGTGATTTCCGCACCTGCGGTTAGGGGACCGCATCTGCGGTCTCGCTTCTGCAAGGAATCGTCCACTTCTTCGGAATTGGGCCGGGCTAGTGATAATAGGTGAATTGAACTATGATTAAACCCTAAAAGAACCATTTTCTTGTATAGTTTTTATGGTAAAAGTGATAACAAAATGCTCTGATTAGTGCTTTTCATGCTTTGCAGGTTACATACAATAAAAGAAGGCTATGGAGTACTTTTGGGATCAATTATGGAGGAAAAAGAGGCCAATCGCACAATATCCGCCAAGTGCACCATGCGAAATGCACAAACCTAGGATTGATTAATACACGTATACATAGTCCTCCATTCGTTGTATCAACGATGTGCGCCTGTTTTGTACCCATCTCATCAATCTTCTTTGTCAATAGGCTCATCTGGGTCAGGAGTGTGCCATGTTCTCTCCTGCGAATTATTGGGATAAGTGGAACTGAATGCACTATTGGGTGCCAGTGTTGCACCTCTAGTCATCCACCCCGCATTTTGTGACATCTTATCGAGGAAATTTTGCACTCGGTGAATGTTTTGCTTAAGAAAGCACCTCCAGCTGAAGCATCCACATTCGCTTTCAAGTTGTCAGCTAGAACCCATGTAGAATCTCTGGCCGAGCATCTGATCCGGAATGCCATGATGAGGACACTTCACAAGCATCCCTTTGAATCTCTCCCAAGTTTCTTGCAAGGACTCAGTGGAATGCTGCCTAAACTGTAAATATGCATCAATTTGCTGTGCAGTCTTGTTAGGCGGATAGAACTTGTCATTAAAACTGCTTGACTAATTCCTCCCAAGTGGTAATGAGTTGATAGGCGAGCGAATTTAACCAAGTTTGAGCTGCCCCGGTTACTGAGAATGGGAACAGGAGCAGTTTGATAGCTTCAGGGGCTTACATTGGGCTGCCTTTGGGTCATCCTGCAAATTGACAGAAAATTTTTCAAGTGTTGTTGCGGGTCTTCAATGCTTGACCCGGAGAACAGTCCCTTATTTTGCAGTAGATGCAGCATGTTGTTGTGATCTGGAATGTCTCCCGCTTGAATTGCGGGCACAGCTATGGCAGTGGCCAGATTGTCAGTTGTAGGATGTGCCCAGTCATAAAGTGCAGCCTCGGGCACAAGAGGTGCCACTCCTCTGACATTTAAGTCAGCTGGCTCATCCCTGATGTTTCCTTGACGTTATCTACGTCACCCATGTCAAATTCGAGTTGGTGTGTTGGTTGAGGTTGGTGAAGTCCTTTGTTGGTACGGTTCAATGCCCTGAATATTTTTTCGGGGTCTGACAGTCCTCTAGTAGTTCTCCAGTCCTCGAAGAATTTCTAGGCATACACACTGCTTTTCACAAGATTTCAAACGTTAGAATTTCAATGACAAAGATTTGGATAGAGAAAACTGACTACACTTAGAATTTTTGTGTTTCTTTCAATTGTAATTGAAACACCGTTAATTCCCCAGGCAACGGTGCCAAAATTTGATCACGCTCAACTGAGTCTCACAAAAGACTATAGCGGGCGTTGCAAATATAATCTGAGTATTATTGCCCAGAGTTCGAACCACAGGAAACTAACCTATCAATCACAAACTGTCAGATTTACTAAATTCACACAATCTGTTTTCCCAAAACTTTTTGATTCACAATGGTTGATTTTCTAACAACTAAAGACTGAAAGTAACTAATAACTGAAAATTTACTAAACTGGATGTGTAAACAGTAGAAATAGGTCTAAGGCAATGGTTTCCCCCGTTGGTAATTTCCTTGGTTGTTATATGTCTTTATAACTACCATTTAGTTGTCTCTAACAATCATGAACGCTCAAGCTATCATAATTCTTTCTCAAGTAAATATGATAATCTACTAGACGCATCTCTCCAAGCTACGCTAGCTAATTTCACAATACAATTCACTTAGATTGCACCCGGGATTTCGTTATTATCTCTAATCCAACCCCTAAACCCTCGGTTATGACTCTCGTCTATACTCCGGGAGTGATGTTGTTCATACAATCACCTAAATATGCACTCTCTCTCAAGTAGATACATAATAAATAGGAACGGATAATTGAGGGCCCTTTCAACTAATCCACAATAAAAACATAGATGAACAACTAGAGATTAACAACCAAATCCAATTATATTAATAAAATAACCAACTATCCCCAACGGGTTCCACCAAAACCTTAGATTAAGGTTTTTAGCTACTCATGACAATGGGGAATAAACTACTAAAAGTTCATAATCATAAATTGCAAGAAAAATAAAGAAGAATAAGAGTAATGATGTTTTGGGTGATCTCTCACACTTGTTTTCCTTGCCAAAGTACTCTCTAAAACATTACACGCCTCCCTTGGGCGAGTTCTTATTGTTTAAATAGGGTTTTGGGCTAAGAATTCCGTATTTTGCACTTCAGTCCCTCAAATTTTCGCTCCTGCCGCGGTCTTTACCGCGGGTTACGCCAGAACCGCGGCCAATTGACCTCTCTGAATCCGCAACAGCTTCTCGCCGCGGTCCGACCGCGGTTACGCCAGGACCGCGGCAGTCCATCTCCAGTTCTGGTTTGT